TAGAAAGGAAACGTTTTATGAAATAATAAATGAGGTGTAACAAGTAAATTTCGTTGATGAAAGCCAATATTTTGACCATATTGGATCGTCATTGTTACTGTAGCAACAGTTTTCCAATTCTTAGTATAGATGGAATTTTGAACCAGAATTTATATACCGTTTTAGATCTAACTGGGCGTGGCTCCGGTCCGATTTGGACTACACCGTCACTCATGGTTGGGAATTCTGCGAAGAGTTCAGGGCAAAGAAGGTTGGTGATTTTTTCTTGATAAGAATGGCGCAGTTGATAGCACAGTGCTCCGCTGATGTACGTACCTTGCACCTTTGTGACTGGCAGAGGAGCCGCGGGGGAGAATGGGGGTCCGGACCCCTCCCCCAAAGTTCTCCTCAAGACCAATTTTGTAATCCTTTCAAAACTGATGAGAAACGGTGTATGGCGTAACCTCCTAATGTTTTCACCTATGACATAATATACCACCAAATCTGTGGTTTTCAGATTATCGTAAAACGTGTCTAAAAGGTATGAAATTGCGTTTCACTGATCCCAACCTAAAAACAGAAACATTTTTCGGGGGCCATGCCCTGGACGGACGATTAGATCCCCCCCCCCCACTTCGTTTGGGGCTGGCTATACCCCTTGGTGTGATTCCTTCGATATGCTGTTGTAAATTACAGGCAATTCTTTCTTTACAACTTTTATTTGCTCGTTTTCACGGAAAAAAATTGACAATTTTTCCTTCAAAACCGGTCTACAGAGCAGTTAAGAACTGATAGAATTGTTCTGTACAAATCCTGTAATTCTTTGATTTTAATTATACTAATGGTAACCTTTTTCTTCTATTCCAGCAAACTACTTGCAAAAGGTACATTTTATTCATTTAATCTGTTATGGTAAAATTTTATTTTCACATGATTAGATCGTAGACTTACATGTGAGCTAGTCGAAAGATTGTAAATTATAATTGTACATTACGTGCGATGAGAAATCGTCTCTTCTATTAATCATGCAATGTAAACAAAGCATAGTAGCTCCTGTATTAACACTGGATCGATAAGAGATGATCCTTATAATTACTGGACCTTTTGGAAGAATTAATAGAGCAATTCAGTGTATATAAATGACAAAAACAGTTATTCATGTTGAGTTTTTCTTTTCCAAACAGTCGGTAAATGTCCAACTGCACCAGCAATGCCAGAATGTCCTTTGGTCCCAATCAAACTGTGTTCATTTGATGGCGAATGTCTTCTAAATCAAAAGTGTTGTGATGATGGGTGCTTTGGTTTAAAGTGTCAAGAACCATGACTTAAATATTTGTGAGAATATTCGAATTACTTACTCATAATGAAATTTCAGAACTAATATGTAAACAAAGTATAGTAGCTCCTGTATTACTGTAACACTGGATCGATGGGTCATTCAGATTTTCTTCTTCCGAAATTGAGGTTTTTCATCTTGTGTAGAACTGATATAAATGTAATAATTCGTAACAGTTTTTTTTAACAATGATTCAATTTGCAATATATAGCACGCTGACAAATATTAACCTGATTAATATGCATCATTGTTACGTCATCATACGTCTATAACCACATGTATTGCACTTATATATTCACAGTATGTTGGCCTAGTATAGCTACGGCGTGTAAGTCCTTATATATTACTCAATAAAGCTTTTAAAATATTACGCAATTAAAATACTAAACGAATTCTTTTTATGAAATAAAATTGGGGTATCTGACCTTATTTTCAAGTTAAAGTTTAAACCCCGCGAAATATCGGCCTTATTGAATCGTTCCATTTTTTCGAAAAAATCCAACTCTGTAGTTATTATTTTTCTAGTCGGACTTTCTTTGTCTTTTAACAAATAGGACCTTTTGAAAAATTAAAATCGGAGATCTTTCGTTTTCTAGTAAACTGTAGAGAGCCACCTTAACATGTTATTTCGTTAGACAAACAAATGCTAACAGCTGATGAAGCTAACACACTCGCAGTTAACAAGTTGATGGCAACAAGCTCGTAGCAACCATAGATATCTTATATACACTAGATAGCGCATCTCTTTTAGTAAAATTGAAGCCAAGAATATTCCAGCGGTTACCCCCATTTGAATAGATGGGGCCATGTTGAAGTTTTCCACTCGCTAATAAACGCTTAAAAAACAACAATAACTTTCATCATTTGAATATAGTTTGAAAATGTATTTACAATAGGTTTAACTTAATGTTTAAGTTCCCTGTTTAAGAAATAGAAAATAAACGAGTCTTCTTATTTATTGGGAATATCCTGAGTCTGCAATCACGGCTTCTATTTTTGAATTGCAGAACAATTAGATGCACTTTCTAGTGTATATAAGATATATATGGTAGCAACTTGTTACGCGAAACAGCCTGTTATACAAGCACTTTCAAATGTTGTTGGGACACATGCAGTTTTAAAGGGTATTTAACTGGATCATTACAGTTTGTTACACACAATACTGTTCCACTCCCCCCCCCCCCCCCCCCCCCCCCCCCCCCCCCCC